CTGAGCCCCCTGCCCTCACAGCTGCCTGTCCACTGAGCCCCCTGCCCTCACAGCTGCCTGTCCACTGAGCCCCCTGCCCTCACAGCTGCCTGTCCACTGAGCTCCCTCCCTCCTCCTGGCTAAGCCCCCTGCCCTCACAGCTGCCTGTCCACTGAGCTCCCTACTGGCCACACTCCTTGCCGACAGCACTGTGGTGCAGGTGTCCCCTGAGCTCACCTAGGTGCTGCAGAGACCAGAAACGCAGGGCCCTCCCAAGGGGACTCTGCCTGCCTGGGGGGGATGGCTCCCATCTGGAAGCTCCCAGTGCAGAAGGTTCCTGGCTAAGGGACTTTGAAGGTGACGTGGGGCGGCTGTAGTAGGAACCCTAATTCACTTAGGACGTCGTGTAGCAGTCGGAAATGCTACTGTTTCAGGCGTAACTGAATTACTCCCCACTGCTGGCAGGAAGTGGATGCCTTTGAATGAGGGGGCCTGGAGGAGCACTTAACACATCACGGTCACGGGCTGCACGTCACGGTCACAGACTGCACGTCACCGTCAGACTGCACGTCACCGTCAGACTGCACGTCACTGTCACAGACTGCATGTCACGGTCACAGCTGCACGTCACCGTCAGACTGCACGTCACGATCACAGACTGCGTGTCACGGTCACAGCTGCACGTCACAGTCACAGACTGCGCGTCACGGTCACAGACTGCACGTCACGGTCACAGACTGCACGTCACGGTCACAGCTGCACGTCACGGTCACAGCTGCACGTCACTGTCAGACTGCACGTCACGGTCACAGCTGCACGTCACTGTCAGACTGCACGTCACGGTCACAGACTGCACGTCACCGTCAGACTGCACGTCACGGTCACAGCTGCACGTCACCATCAGACTACACGTCATGGTCACAGCTGCACGTCACGGTCACAGACTGCACGTCACGGTCACAGCTGCACGTCACGGTCACAGCTGCACGTCACCGTCAGACTACATGTCATGGTCACAGCTGCACGTCATGGTCACAGACTTCGTGTCACGGTCACAGACTGCACATCATGGTCACAGCTGCACGTCACTGTCAGACTGCACGTCACGGTCACAGCTGCACGTCCTGGTCAAGGGCTGCACATCAGGGTCATGGACTGCCGTACGAACACTCTCTCTTGTCGGAAGTGCGATCAGATGCTCCTTAGAGTGAGGACTTTATCTCAGGCCGTCAGACTGGCTTTCAGGGGACCTGTCCCCGGGGGATGACCTGTCCTGGGGGACGACCTCTGCCCCAAGGACGACATCATGCCTGGTAGTCAGTGATGGTGGGGAAGCCCCCTGATGAGAAGGATGGACACAGAGGCTGTGACGGTGGGCAAACACGGCAGAACTGAGGAGGGCACAGCGCCGTGCAGGGCCGGGCTCTGCCGTCCACAGGGCGCCGTGATGGGAGCTGGACAGACCCGATCGCACCGACCAGCCGGCAGGGTACCCTGTGGCTCAGCAGTACGGTTCTCGCCTCCCACGCAGGAGACCCAGGTTCAACTCCACCCAGGACACGTAAGTGTGGCCACGAGCCCACTCAGTGGAGGTGTGTGTGTGGCTTTGATGCCGAGAAGGCATCCGGCAGGGCGTGCGGGCTGACACGGGCTAGGAGGGAAGGCTGAGCACGCATGTGTGAGCTTATGAAACTCTGCCAGTGAAACCCCCCATCTCGCTGAAGGGCTCGTGAGCAGGGGGCCGACGTGAACACTGGGAGGTCAGGCGGCGAGGACGTCTGAAGGGCTGGCACGTCCACCTCCCCAGCAGGACTCTGCAGCTTTCTCCCAGCCAGGAAGAGTGGGCCCCAAAGAGCCCCCGCCCTGAGGCCTCATGGCATGGACTTTTTACGACTTCCTGGTCGCTATGCGGTGTCCAGGGGCTGGACCGGAGCAGTGCACTGTGCGTGTGTGTGTGTGTGTGTGTGTTTGGGGTGGGGGGCTCCACCAGGCTCAAGCTCAGAGCTTCCTCAGGACAGGGTGGATGCGGTGTGGACACAGGTGGCTGGAGGGAGTCCTGCCCAGTGACCCCACCTTCCCTGTGCTCCCTCCAGCGTGCCAGGGCAGGACAATGAGGAACACCTTACAGACCCTGGGCTGGCCGCCCCGACTTCCCCATGCCGCCCTCACAGCCCCGGTGCTGTCCGAGGCTGTGGTGGGAATCCAAGTCCTCTCCCCTGCCGCCTGGCACAGGGGCCCGGATTGCGGACGTGGCTGTGACGCTGTCATGCTTACAGCTCGTGCAAGGTGCCGTGTGACACCACCTACTGTCCTGTGTGAGCTGTGGATCCAACAGAGCCCAGGTGAACAGGTCCCACTGGCCCTGACATCCTCACGGCCACTGCTGTGCGTGGGAGCCACAGCGTCCATCTGTCTCATTCAGGGGCTTCCTGTTTGTGCATGACCCTCTACTTTTCCAAACATGATTCCTACGGGGCCCTGTGAGGCCATGGCCACAGCATGTGAGAGAGTCTCTCTGCCCTGGTTTCTCAGGCCTATCTCGGTGAATTCTCCTCGCTTCTGAGCGCCATGGGCATCACACCACATGGAGGAGCTGGCCTCACTTAGCGGCCGGCCTCACGGAGGGGCTGGCCTCACGGGGTGTGATGTGAGCTGGCTGGGGGAGTGGAGCTGCTGGTCGTGGTACAGGTACAACTGACCACAGTCCCAGGCAGGGACCTTCCTCCAGGCCCCGGTCTGTCTGAAAAGGGCCCTGACAGTTGAAGTCCTCAGCCCTGGAACTGCCCCAGCAGAGAAAGGATGTGCCAGGCCAGGGGGACACGGGACACCCGAGCACCAACTCACTTCTTTTTTTCTTGTAGTTTTTCCTCTTCTTAAACTTCATGTTGATTTTAGGCCACGATTCTGTCTTCTCCACCACGGTGGCTTCCACTCGAACAAGGTCCTTTCTGGAAGGAAGCAGAGGAAATGAGGACCTGCATCCACTGGTTCTCAATTCTAATGCCTCCCGTGGAAAGTTCTAGAATGCTTTCCTTTCCCTTCTGCTGATTACGGCAGTGAAAGCCCACACCGTGATGCTGTGGGAACCACATACTCACCTAAAGAGGCTGAGCTTGGGGACCGTAGGACAGCCGGGAAAGACCCAGTGGGCTGGCTGGTGACCGGCACAAGGACACCCTGACCCACTGTGGCCAAGAGGCGACGTGCTGTGCGTGGTGTTCACAGCAAGTGGGACCGGAACCCCCAACCAGCCTACCTGCCCTGTCTTCTGGGGCAGCTCTTCGGGCGTCTCATCGGTCAGCTCCCTGCCCGGCCTGTCTCTGTCAGAAGGGCCCTGTCCCCATGATCTGCTCCCCGACCAGCCTCTGTTCCTGTCATAACTGCCCCAACCCCCTTGGTCAGCTCCCCGTCCGGCCTCGAGGTCATTCCTGTCACAGAGCACGTACCCAAGGAGTGGCTTGCCGATTAACGTGAAGTTGTCAGACCCGACCAGCAGGACCTTTAGAGATCAAAGGAGAGCACTGCTTTAATCAATGAGCACCGTGACCCCGCGGGTCAGAGCAGAGCGCCCCTTCGGGGCTGTCCCCTTCATGGAGGCACATGGCCTCTTCTTTGTCCCGTGGAACAAGCAGTGGGCTTGAACTGCTGACCTTTCTGGTAGCAGATGAGAGCTTACCCACTTCCCCCCAGGGCACCCCCATCACACACTGGCTCACAACAGAGCAGCACCAGAGACGTGTGACCAGCGGGGGCCACGCTCCTGAGGGACAGAGACGCTGGGGACCCGGTGCCCAAACTCCCCGTGGGCATGGCCTTCCCTGACCCTGAGGAGGCAGCTTCCTGGGTGGTAGCCCTGGTGGCTTTCCTGTTCATGTCCCCAGTGAGACATGTAAAAACACAACAAAGTGGGGGAAAGCCTGGTGGCCCAGCGGGCTAAGCACTGGACTGCTAGCTGAACTGTTAGCTCTGAAGGGGAGATGAGGCTGTGAGCTGACTGAAGATTCAGCCGTGGACGCCCTCGGGGGTGGCTCTGAGACCTAGGGGGTGACTGGGGGGGTGGCTCAGAGCCCTCGGTCCCATGGGTCATTAGAGTAGACTCCTCCCCGTGGGGTTTTGCACTGTGGCAGTGTCCTCCGTGACCTCTGACAGAACGGGGCCTTTACAGGCGTCCACAGTACCACCCATGTCACTGAGATCAGGCTCGGCCTGGTCCTTCACGGCTGCTGCCGGCCTCTGTGGCACAGTCAGGTGGTCTCGCTGACATGAAGTGGACGCTGAGCGAGCACAGAGCCTGTGCGGAGGAGCCTGTGGGCCTCGGAGGAGCCGGTTAGACGTCGGCGGCTGCTCACCCTGCGCCGACAAGAACAAAACCAGCCCTAAGCGGGGACGTCTGAGGGCACAGTGCCTGTTCCACCACCCGTGGCTGGGGGGCAGCAGACTCCCACACAATGAAGAGAAATCCTGGGGTTACTCAGTGTGACCCCTCCCCACGACAGGGCTTCCCAAGGTAGGAAACGCCACCTGCAAAAGCCTCCCGTCGTCCTGACGCTGCCTGTTACACTGATGCTCAAAGTCCCCGTGCCCTGGCCCTCGTGCGCAGGGCGGGGTCCCCGAGGTCTTGGGGGGACAGGGAGGCTGTTCATGCTTCACAATCAACGTGGTCCACTCGGAGCTAGACCACACCTGGGTCCCAGGCTGCGGGAGCTCTCGGCAGATGGCGTGCCACAGTGGACTGACCCGTGTCCCCAACCAGGGTGGGCTGACCCGTGTCCCCCACCACGGCAGGCTGACCCGTGTCCCCCACCAGGGCGCGCTGACCCGTGTCCCCAGTGTGCTGTCCACGTGGCTGGCCCACGATCCTCAGCGTGGTCCAGAACTAAAGCCACCACAAACCGAAGCCTGCAGTGCAGCCCGCAGAGACTCACCCAGGAAGACCCCTAGTCAGGTTGTGAGGCCGTAAATCTTGAGGGGAGGAGACTGTCCATCCTTCCTCAGAGCGCTGGGTGCAGATGAACCGCGGACCTTCAGGTTAGCAGCCTGCCCGCTAACACATTACGCCACAGGGGCTTCCCAATCACATAGATTAACCATCTGTTTCTGTTGGGTGCTGTCGCGGAGCACGACCCGCAGCGACGCTCTGGACGGCAGATCTGAACCCTGTCCGGCGCCGTCCTCACCTCCTGACCCAGCAGAGCCCGCTGCGGCAGTCGCTGTGCCATCACCTGGCCGAGGGTCCTCCTCTCCTTCACCGCCCCTTTGCCTTTCCAAGCGTGACGTCCTCCGTGGAACAGCCTCTCCCAGCAACACGCCCAAAGTATGTGGGCGGAAGCTTTACCCTCCTGTCCTCCAGGGAGCACTCTGGCTGCACCTTCTCCGGGACATAACCGATCTGTTCCTCTGGCCGTCCGCAGGACATCGGGCACTCTCCTCCAGCACCACCCTTCAAAGGCGTCAGTTTCTCTGTCATTCTTATTCACTGTTCAGCTCTCCGATGCACAGCAAGTTACTGAACCACGCACACCTTAGTACTCAAAGGGACACCACTGCTCCTGAATAATTTGGAGAGGTCCTTAACTGCAGATTTTTCCAATGCAGTAAGTCTTCTGATCTCCTTAGGGCTGATATCCAGTGTACTGAACGCAGATTCCAGTAAGATGAAGCCGCTGACAGTTTCAACCATTTCTCCATCTATCATGTTGTTGCCTACTGGTCCAGTGGGGAGAATTTCTGTTTTCTTGGTGTTGAGATGTAACCCATAGTGAAGGCTGCAGCCTGTGATTTTCTGCAGCAAGTGCTTCAAAACTCTGCCTCACTTTCAGGAAGCAAGGCTCTATCATTTGCATAACGAAAGGTATAGGTGAGTCTTCCTCCAATCCTGACAACTAGGCCCTCAACAGCACAGGAGGAGTGGAAACACGTGGCTAAACCAGCAGGCAAACCACACAACTCTGAATGGATAGACGCCGATCCAGTGCCCAAAGTGGATCCAACTCCCTGGGGACCCAGGATGGGGGACAATTTGGAATCAACCTCGGCGGGGCATTTCAGTACTTAACAGGACTAACAGGTATCGTTCTATGCTGTCATGTACTGTTGGGTTAGAACCGACCCATCGCTGGCTCTCCAGCAGGTCGTCAGTGGCAGGAACTCACCCAGGAACTGACTGCCCGTCTATCTCCCACAGAGCAGCTGGTGGATTTGAACCGTGTGCTTTCGGGTTGGCAGCACAGCTTCTTACTACCAGGCCACCAGAGCTGCCTTTGTTTTTTTAAATCTATTCAATTTTAAATTATCTTTATGCTGAACGGAAAGTGGTTCCAAGCTCAGTCATAGTGAAACCTTCAGGGTAAGAAGAGAGAGGTGAGTGTCTCGTCAGGACAGAACCTTCGTGTCAGTGTGCGTGCACCTGCTTTCCTCGATGGTCACGGTCACGGTCTCTGTGAAACACGCTGACCGTCAGCGGCACCGCTTAGGTTCTCACCCCGATGGAGATGCGAGCTGACTGACGGGGGCCATGACAGCCAGCGCTGCTACACTCATCTACACCCTCCAGGTTGTTTTCCAGATTAAACGTAGCTTTAATCTCACACAGCTGCCTGTGACGGTTATTACATCTAGGGCTCAAACGTTTTCCTCTGGGAACATCTCTGAGCAGAAGGCAAATCAATAAAGCCGAGCTTGGTCCCATAGGGGCCGTGGAAGACGCTTGCCCTGGGGACAAACACCGCAGGCTCTGAGGCCCTGGGGGGCGGTGCCCGGTCTGCTGAGGCCTGGGGGCAGTGCCTGGTGTTCTGAGGCCCTGGGGGCAGTGCCCAGTCTGCTGAGGCCCGGGGGCAGTGCCTGGTCTGCTGAGGCCCGGGGGGCAGTGCCCGGTCTGCTAAGGCCCTGGGGCAGTGCCCGGTGTTCTGAGGCCCTGGGGGCAGTGCCCGGTGTTCTGAGGCCCTGGGGGCAGTGCCCGGTGTTCTGAGGCCCTGGGGGCAGTGCCCAGTCTGCTGAGGCCCTGGGGGCAGTGCCCAGTCTGCTGAGGCCCGGGGGCAGTGCCTGGTGTTCTGAGGCCCTGGGGGCAGTGCCCAGTCTGCTGAGGCCCGGGGGCAGTGCCTGGTGTTCTGAGGCCCGGGGGCAGTGCCCGGCCATGCACCTATAGTGAACGCCCCTCCCTGGACCCAAGTGAGGAGCTGGGTGACCAAGACCCCTCTGTACCTTCTCCAGGCGGATCCTCTCGCCACAGGCGACGTCCAGCTCGTTTTCCACCAGAATCAGGTCCTCGTTGGTGACCTTCCACTGGTGGCTGGCAAAGTGCACCACAGCGAAGAGCCTGCCATAGTGGCCCTCGGCGATGAGCTTATTCACGGTCCCCACCACCTCTGCCGGGAGAGGACACTGGACAGTGAGCAGCTGGGGAACAGCCCTGTGACAGCCCCGCGGGACCTGCATGTTCATTCCCCTCCACCCCCGCCCAGGGACCTCCCTGCTCAGCCCCCACCCCGACCCTACAGGGACCTCCCTGCTCTGTCCCCTCCACCCTGATCCTTCAGGGACTTCACTGCTCAGCCTCCTCTGTGGCAGGCCACTCTGTCCTGGGTCCTGGCCTGTGACAGCTGGGAGGCACCCACGCCAGCATGGTGAGGTCGGTCACGTTCACATGGGCACCTCCTCATGTGAGGTGTGCACTTTCTCACGGCCCTGTGCTGCATGGAGCCCCAGAACCACCTCACAGGGGTCTCCTCCCACGCCGTGTCCTGTGTGGCTCCCCCAGCTCTTGGGTCATCTTTCTGAGGTAGGGAAATGCCCCCCTTGCTTGGCTCTCTTTCAGGGTTCATGGAGGGCCCGAGGCTGAGTGTGTGAAATCAGAGAAAAGGGAGGCCTTTCTGTAAACCAGGAAACCAGGGAGTTACAGCCCTTGGAGCCGCCGGGAAGGACGCTACCCAACACACGGCTTCACGCTGGCCCCGGGCGTGCTGTCACTGTCCTCACCTTGACTCAGCCCCGAGTGTCACCAGGTTGGTTAATGCTGAGCAGACTCCCGGTGCAGAAGCCCAGCTGGCCTGGCTCTGCCCTGGACACAACACTGAGGCCACAGCCGACACTGGCAGGGCAGGAGTGTGACTGGGGCACACCATCCCTCCCCCTGCTACCAGAGCTCCGCCCGGCGGCATGGCCCTCGGCCAGGAGGAAGCCGTCTGCTGTGGCGACTGTGTCCTGCACAGCACCCACGACAGGATTGTAAGACTAGAGGACTCGATTATCATAGTCAGGATTCTCAGCTTCTTGGAAAAGCGCGGGTTCGGTGCCTGTCACAGCTTGGGTGGCAGCTGGCTGTGCCCCTGCGTCCAGGCCACTTGGCTCAGATGGCCCTGCCTATGGCTAGTACAAGGCCACCTCGTCCTCATGGGCCACGAGGCGGTGCTCTCGCAGCTGGGGGAGGGTCCTGCTCTGAGCCCACATGTGCACCACGGGCCGGGTCACCCTCACTGGGCACTGCCACCTGCAGGCGCCCAGGGGCCATCGTGTGGTTCCATGGTTTCTAGTCCAGGAAAATGGAGAGGTGCTTTCACACCTGTGTGTCCACAGCCCCTGGAGACGAGGTCACCTCCCGGGCACTGGCCCCGGGGAGGCCCTTACCTGCATGGTGCTTCGCCTCTTCTTTGGGGTCGGGCAGCACGATCTCTGGCCATGGCGGGGAGCTCAGGGATGTTTTCGGAACGTATCTGGGGAGATAATTTCACAGAGCAGGTCACACGTGATGTGGTGGCACAAGCCCCCCAAGAAGCAGTGCGCACGGAATGGTGGGAGGTCCTGAGCCGGGGTCCGTGTGAGCTGTCCTGTGACATGTACAGGACGGGGTGGGATGCTGCGTGGGCACGTGTGCACACGTTTAAACGTGCCAGGTGTGGAGCCACTGTGCCCTCGTGCAGACCCCACCCCTGCTATGACCCGAGGCCAGGTGTCCACCTGCACACGTGCTCTCAGAACCTTGTGTTTGCAGGGACAATAGCTACAGGTCAGTAGTTAACTCACGGATCCTAGGCACCCCGTCCTGGGCCAGTGCTCCTCAGTTAGCCCGCGCTCTGGACGGGCCACGTCAAAAGCCGGGCTCCAGTGACCTCCCCCACAATGATCAGCACTGTCCTCTCTCAGGGAGAGCCCCAGCCAGGTGGGACCTGACCCCCTCACTCCCACACAGGAGCCCCCATTTCACGCCCGCCCTTCCACTTTTGAGTAGCAAGGCCGCGAGCAAGTTACTCAGCTACTCCATCCCCGACTCCCCTAGCAGAGGAGAGAACAAAGCCACGGGCTCAGGGAGTGAATGTGCACCTGGACTTGGCAGGTGGGCCACGTGCCAGGCTCCCCTGTGCCCGCGTCTGCTCTCTCTCACCTAGTGACAGTGGACGCAGTGTGGGCAGCGTCCTTCACGCTCGTAACCTCCGGTGGCTTTCCCCTCCCCACTGACGCCCACGGATGGAGAAAGGGGCGCTGGAGCAGGAGGAACAGGCAGGGCTCTCATTCCCTGACCACTCTTCCCTCTAGGGGAGGGGCGGCTGGACCCCCCCCAGGCCATCTAGATGGACTCAGGTGGTCTCTCTGCTTTTCCTGTTACTAAAACACCCCCTGCCCTGCCTCCACACAACTGTTGTGAGGCCGACTGAGTGGGGTGCAGTGGGGTCAGCCTGCAGGACAGGGCAGACACCCCCACACCACTGTGAGGCCGACTGAGCCAGGAGTAGGTGGGTCAGCCTGCAGGAGGACCCCCCCCCCCCCACCGCTGTGAGGCCGACTGAGAGGGGAGCGGTGGGGTCAGCCTGCAGGAGGACCCCCCCCCCCCCCACCGCTGTGAGGCCGACTGAGAGGGGAGCGGTGGGGTCAGCCTGCAGGACCGGGCAGAGCTGCCCTGCAGGGTTTCTAAGGCTGTAAACTCCTTGGGAAAGAGACTGTTTTGTCTTTCTACTGAGGAACAGAGAATGGGTTTGAACTGCTGACTCTGAGGTTAGCAGACAAGCCTTTCAACCACTATCCTACAGTCTCAGTAAGCCCTTATCTGCATAAAACCCCAACAAAACCTGACTAAACGAGAGCGCTGCCCTGCAGTAACTCTGCTGTCCCGAGAGGCCGGGTCTCCCCAGACTGTTCACTGGGACTCGGGGTGCTTTGTGTGACCTGAGTGAGGGGGGACGGCTGCCCCCACTCTGGGGTTCTCATGAACTCCCCGGGGGTGGCTGGGCAGTGGACCGGGGATGCTGCTGTGGCTGGTGGGAAGCTGGCCTCCTTGGCGGGCTCTGGTGAGGCCCAGGTGCAGACAGACTTGAGAGAAGGATAAACTCGACAGCTGGACCCGGAGGGTGGGATCATTCAGAAAAAAGGAAAAGGCAGCCCCACCTGCTAGGATGCAGCCTGGGAATCCACCTCCACCTGGTCTCGGTTTTCAGCTGCTCCTTCCAGACTGGCTGTCCTGCCCCAACCTCCACTACGACCCTCGATGACAGCGGGCATATAGGAAGGCTTGCTGGACTTCAGGTACCGTCCAGCACTGGGACAAATTCTTTACTCTGGTACAGACTTCACTCCCCGTTTTCGGGAGGAAATGCAGCCCGGGTTGACCAGCTCCTTGTCCAGCATTTCTAGCGAGCAGGGGCAGAGAGCCGGACCAATGTGGGTCCCTAACACCACTGACACCTTGCACTGCTCCTGGGGTTGGTAAGTGGTGAAGTGCCCAGCTACAAACAGAAAGGCTGTAGGTTTGAATCCACCCAGAGGTTCTTTGGAAGAAAGGCCTGGTGGTCTCCTTCCAAACAAAACCAGCCTCTGAGAAGCTGTGGACGGCCTTGCTCCTCATACCTGGAGTCGCCCAACAGCAACCTAGGGGCCAACTCCACAGCAACCATGTCTTGGTAAAGTTCACCCGCTTTGCCAAAACTTACTCCTGCATTTTTTTTTCAGGTAAGTACCTAGTTTATTGGAGATATTTTTTTCTCTTTTTTACAACAGCTAAGCTTTCTAATTTTTTAAATGAATTCCTTGTTGCACATTTTCTTCCCTCCTCCCACCCCAGTCCGCTTTGCTACGCATTCCTCCTCAAGATTCTGAGCACCTCCTCTCTCCCGTCTCAGGCAGAACTCTCTAAGCAGGAGTCACACGTCTTCCTTCGGGTGAAGGCGGCCTGGGCTCTGGGAACCTCTCTCAGGGGACGCCTGCAGCCAGGGAAGACCCAGATGCTCTGGAACACCTGAGCGCCCGCCCACCCCGCCCACCGCACAGGCTGCCGCAGGGCTCTTCTGGATTTACCCTTGAGGACGTGCAGTGCTCTGGGAACTGGAGCTGCGAGCGGCGGGCCAGAGGGAAGCTGCGGGGACAAGAGATGTGATTACTAAGGTGATATGCAACACCGCTCCATCTCCATCAACACCTCGGTGCAGTCACTGCTGTACCCAGTTTAAACCACTGTAACACTACTTAAAACTACAACAAATCTCTGGTCCCTCCTGACAACATGTCCAAACTCCGTGAGAAAAAGTTCCACCGTCCTTGTCTCTAAGGAGCAGCCTGGTTGCACTCCCTCCAGGACAGACTCTGTTTCCTTCAGTGGTTCACAGGCTTATCCACGGGCTATCCACGGGCTCTCCACGGGCTATCCACGGGCTTATCCACAGGCTTATCCACAGGCTATCCACGGGCTAGCCACGGGCTAGTTAGCACTCAGCTCCCGCAACTCACAGACACTGTCTTCTTCTGTCATCCTTATTCATAGCTTTAACTTTCAGAAGCATTTCATTTTACTTAGATCTACAATCAACACTGCCTGGCAAATCCTAAAACGGTTCCATTTATGCTAAAATAGCTGAGTCCTTAGACCTGTTTTTCTAGTTTCTTCCAGGAACACAGGTACAAGCTGTCTGCCTGCCCTGTTGTTATCAGCCACGCTTGCAGAACCAGATCCATATCAAGCAGGTGAGAGCTTCTCTTAAGCCATATTGTTAACATTTCCACGAGCTTATGTGATTCTTAGGGAGCTCTTGTGGCCTAATGGTAAGGAGTTGGGCTAGCAACCCAAAGGAATGTGGTTCAAATCCACCAGCTGCTCTGAGGGAAAAAGACGGACAATTTCCTCCTGTGTGAATGTTGTTGTTATGTGACAATGAGTCACCTGCCTCCGGAAACCCTATGAACCTGGAGAAAGGATAAAAGTCACATAAGTGCTGAGGACTTTCATTCACAGGGTAGCTATGAGTCGCCTAAGACTCAACGGTACTTATACTTAACAACAATAACACCAACATAGAGAGAGACCAGTTGGCCTAGTGCACAGAAAGTGATGCTCCCAAACCAAAGGTGGGTGACTCTAATCCATGGCCCTCAGGCCTGTTTTTCATTGTTTTTGGTCAAACATTCTTTTAGGTCATACAGCCCTGGTGTGTGTCCACCTGCCGTACAGCGTAACTTGTGGTTGCTGTGAGGCTGAACACTGTGACACTGATGTGTCAAATGCATTAATGGTTACCCATGGGAGACAGTGTTTGGTGGAGTTTCCCAATTAAAACAAGCTTGGAAGCAGGAGTGGCATCCATGTCTGTAATAGCTTGCCTCCAGAAACACTATGAACCTGGAGAAAGGATGACTGAGGACTTTGGTTCATAGGGTCGCTATGAGTCGCCTACGACTCGAAGGCACTTAACAACAACAACAACAACTTGCTGGTGGGTCACTTGGGGTGGGTTCTGCCTAGAGGCAGCTATAACAACATGTAATTTTTAACTCTGCCACATACCGGGATTGTGTAGATGTAGACGATAGCGGCTTCCTCCGAGCTTTAGTGGAAAACATTTGGGTTGCTGCTGGAGCTCTGTAGCACTGTGTCCCCCAGTCTGTAAGCTTCCTGTCCCCAACATCTAAAACTGTCCTTTAGTCTGTCTCTGGGTCACTTTTTCTGTCTGGCTGTGACAATGAACCCTGATAGACTTTCCCTCTGGAGAACAAACTCCAACAAGCACACGCGTTAGCAGTGGTTAAGGACCTCTCCAAAAAAGCTAATGGGAAATGATGTCAAAGTCTAAGTGCACCTGATGAAAGCCCTAGTATTTTCAAGTGCTTCTCATGCATCTGAAAGTTCTTTTGGTAGCTGACGGTATTTTTGGTATTCTCTGCCAATGACACCATTCAAAGACATGAATTCTTTTATCTTGTTTCACATACTGTGTTCAGTTGATGTGGCTCACTGAAGCACTTGAAACTTAATTGTTTCAGAAAACTACCTCAGACTGATGAACACCTCCTGCTTCCAGGACTCCAGAACTTTCTGTGTCTCGGTGATCTTGTGATCAGCCTTCACACGGTTCCTATTCCTCTTTCTTTGCAATGTTTTACTGTGTACTGCTCTCTTTAAAGATGTAAGTATCTCAACACGATGGTCAACAAATCAAAATCCCTTGTTCAAAGTTCTTGATCAAATACTTCAGTCGGCACCTTGATGTACTTAATAAAAACATGATGGCTACCTTGCTGTAGCTAGGTGCCGTCGAGGTGAATATGACCCACAGCGACCCTACGAACAACAGAGCTGAACGCTGTCCTGTCCTATGCCAACCTGACACACCTGAGCCCACTGCTGCGGTCACTGCGTCGATCCACGTGGTGGAGGAGGGTCTTCCTCTCTTTCACCTACCCTCTACCTCTCCCAGCAAGCAGCCTCTTTCCAAGGTATAGCCTCTCCTAGCAGCATGCCCGAAGTATGTGAGATGAAGCTTTGTAATTTTTGCCTCCAAAGAGACTCTGGCTGCACTTTCTCTAAGAAATACCTGTTTGTTCTTTTGGCTGTCCATGGGATATTCAGCTCTCTTCTCCAACACCACAAGTCAAAGGCACAGAAAACAACTGAAAAGACAATAGCCTGAATCAGGCATACCTTGATCCTCAAACTTTAAAGGCGTCTAATAAACTACTGAGGTGTTTATTTCTGACAAGAGGACTGCAAAGCTTGGAGGATAAGATACTCTTCTATCTAGGAACTGTTGCTCATGCACGTCCTCCGCTCCAGTTTCCTGAACATTTTGGGGATGTGACAGGCACCTGATGCCTGTGCATTTGAATCACTCCTCCCCACTTCCCACTATGCGACCCTGATTCCTCTCTGCCTGTTGCCCATAGCCCCTGTATACACACAGATACTATGAGTAGCTGAAACGCCATATTCACGCGAGAAATCGAGATCTGAACTCTGGCGGCTCTGATGCTACAGGACTGTCTAAAGAACAAACAAATATGTTCCGGAGAGGGTGCAGCCATGGTGAGGCTTTGTCTCACATGCTCCGGGTATGTTGCTGCTTGAAAAGAGACATAATGCTCAGAAAGGTGGAGGGTTGGTGAAGGAAAAGGAAGACCCTCGACTAGGCGGACTGGCACCATGACTGCTGCAATGGGCTCTAACGTGTTAGGAAGTGTGAGGATGGCTCAGGATACGGTAGAATTCAGGTCTGTTGTTCATCAGGTTACTCTAAGTTGTACTCAACTCAGAGGCACCTAACAACAACAACAACAAGATTGAAGCTCAAGGCGAGCTCTGGTGGCCTAGTGGCAGGAAATTGCACTGCAGTCCCAGAGGTGCATGGTTCAAATCCACCAGATGCTCTGCTGATGAAGGAGGAACAATCGCCTCCTGTACCAGTCAGATCCAATTTGATGGTACACACATAAAATAAATAAATAAAAAAATTTTTTTTTATTAAAAAAAGACTGAAGGTCAACATCAAGAAAACAAATATTCTCACCATTAGGCCAATTAGCAACACCATGATGGATGGAGAAGGGTTTGAGATTGTGAACAATTTCAGCTTGCTCAGGTCCACAATCAATGCTCTTGACACCAGCAGCAAGGCAATCAAAAGATGAACTGGATTAGGAAAATCTGCTATCAGGGACCTCTCCAGAACACTGAAGAGCAAAGATGTCAGTCTAGAGACTAAGGTGTGCCTGATCCAGGGCCTGGTCTCTGCAATTACTTGCTATGCATCAGAGAACTGGACAGTGACTAAAGATGACAGAAGAACATAAGCCTTTGAGCTGTGGTGCTGGAGAAGTGTTGAACACACCATGGAGTGCTAGAAGAACAAACAGGTTCACCCTAGAGAGGGTGAAACCAGGCTGCTCCTGGAGGCAAGGGAGAACTCCGACTCACACACTTTGGGCGTGTTGTCATGAAGGACCAGTCCTTGGAGAAGGACATCATGGAAAGACGGAGGGACAGCCTAGGAGAGGAGGACCCTGGATGACACAGATTGACACAGTGACTGGGGTAATGGGGTCAGGGGTGTCAGAGAGGGTGAGATTGGCTCAAGATAAAGCAGGGTACAGAGCTGTTGTGCATAGGGTCGGCATGAGTCGTAGGTGACTCGATGACACAAAACAACACAAATGTCACAAAAATAACGCGCTTAGACAGACACTACCAGACATGGACGCAGACGGAGGACGGAGGCCGGGAGCACGCCTCGCCACGTCCTCGCCCTCACCCCGCCGCCCGGCTCTCACCTGCTGCGGGTCCCGAAGCCCTAACGATGCTGCGGCTGCACGCGGACACCAGCCGCCCGAGTGTCACCGGCAACGCCATGGCTGCCACGGCCGCGGCCATCTTTCCGGAACCGCGGCCGGAAGCGGAAGTGGCGGGAGCGTGTGCGTCGACGCACGGGGACCGGCTGGGAGCTGCAGCGGGGGTGGGAGGATCCGGGCCGGGCGAGGCGCCGAGGGTTCGGAGCGGCCGAGGGTTCCGCGGGGCCGGCGGTCTGGCGGAGGAGATGGCCTCGGCCGCGGTGGAGAGCTTCGTGAGCAAGCAGCTGGACCTGCTGGAGCTCGAGAGGGACGCGGAGGTCGAGGAGCGCAGGTACTGCCCACCGCGGCCCTGCGGCCGCTGCCCTCCCCGCTTAGCGCCGCTGCCCGGGCCGCCGGCCTCGGCTCGGCCACCTCGGTGGGGACCTCCGAGCTGCCCGCGGCTGCGTTTTCGGACCCTAGGACGCCCTTTCTGTTCTCGATCTTTCCGAGCGTACCCTCAGCGGGCAGGGCTGGCGCGTTGGGAGCGCAGTTCCAGCCCCTGCGCCTCGTGAGCAGCAGAGAGGCGCTCCCGACCTGGCAGTGGTGCAGGCACGCTGCGTGACTTGGTGCAGGCATCCATTCACTCCCAGGGGGGGCGGGAAAGCGGCTCCTCGTGCAGACAAGTGCAACATCTTTTGACTTTTTGTCTGCTGGTAACAAGCGTGTTCGTTGATTGTGGATCCCAGTGAGATGACAACTTCAATCGCCATCTGTCCTGATGTTGCTTCTCGCCCCAGTGGTGAGGTTCGGGGCTCGTAAGCACAGAG